TGCTGATCTAAATCATTTAAAAATAAAATTATTATTATTCATATTATACAAATAATTCAATATAATTATATCTATTCAAGCAAAATTAAGTTACCAGTTAAATGCATTTTAATGTCTTAGATAGGGTATGCAATTTTCATATTTGTGAAATATAAGTGAACTCATGTAGAATTTACCAATACAGTAGAAGTTCAGAAATCCGCAACGCTTGGAACCAGAGATAGTGCGGATATTATGATTTTTCAGATTTTAGGACAGAAAAGATAATATTCAGACTAAAAGGGCAAAATAAATAAGGTGTATTAGATACATTTAATTAAATTATTTATATACATTAATACAATAATTAATTATATGAATTAAATTATTATTACATATATAAACTGATTATATTATATTGTTCATTTACATTAGGCTCCTCTATTTTTAAATCAGCATGAATCTGCTTCCCCTTTTCTCTCAGGAGTAGTCCTGAAATAGTTACCCCATTACTTCACCGCTGCCGGAACCACTCGTACAAGACAGCATCGAGGTTTGCCAATTTCGCCTCATGTAAAGATTTCCGGTTTCGGATTCCAGTGTTAGAATCACTGTTGCTGTAAAATTTCAACAGCTTTTCTTTATTGTTCCGTATATCATGCACAGTCCCTGTGGCAATTCCATATGATTCTGCTATAAACCGAGCAGTAGAACCTGCCTACATCTTTAGATGGAATTTCCACTTTTTTCAATACCGTCAATGCAACGTGTTTACTTTTTTCAACATTGCAAGCTGTAAAATCACGAGAGCGTTTTTCATCTGTCATTGTATTAAAAAGCGCTAAAATTAAAATGTTCTTAATATATCCACAAAATATCCGGATAAAAAAAAAATGACATTACTAAATAATTTCGTGAAATAGCAAAGCTCAGAAAGTACAACAACGTGAAGCTTGAACTTGAAAGAAGAGTTAATCGTCTGCTTTTTTACCTCGATGCAGATTGGAGGGAAAAAACTTTTATCATGATGTCAATAATTTGGTATTTCCATTATGACTCATTATTATTCGGTAATTATTACATCATTATCCAGTAAGTATTTTTTCTTTGATATTTCTTACTCCATGTTGTGGTTTCCGGAACCTATAAACAAAATGTTTATATTTTTAGAGGCAATGAGGATTTCAGGTCTTCGGATTTTCGGTATTTGACTGTATCAGTGATTAGATATGAAATAATCATTTTGAATTTTTGAATGAAAATTGAAGTAGGTAGTTAAAGACAATTCATGTAACACTAAAGTGATGCTACTGTTATAGCTTTCATTTAGTTTTTTCTTTTTTCAGTTTTATTGTAGTAATTTATTTTATTATGGTAGTTTAAAAAAAAAACAATGATTTGTAATTTTTTTCACCTGCTAAAATATGCAAAATTCTCATTTCAGACTTTTACTTTTGCCAAATTTTATTCTTATGCATGAAGTATGCATAGTAGTGTTTTATTTTTTCCCCCTATGCTTTCTTTAAGATGATATTAAAATTTGGGGGTGTTTCAAAAAATTACTTTTTAATGAGAATATCTTGTTATTAAAAAAAAATGCAGTGGCATTTAGTGACAGTTTTAATGGATGATGAAAAGTCATACTGCACACCATTATGAAATTATATAATATAAGTGCAATGTATCTTGCATAATGAAATATTGTGACTACTCTGTCATATTCTTAATTCATTTTATTCACATAAGCACGTATAGGTATTTTATTATGTCCTCTCGATCATTGATTATGTTTCGATGCAATTCATATGTTATTTTCTTGGTATTTCTGTGTGATAACACCCTTGGTTGATGAGGTAATGTAGATTTATTGTTGCGCATTGTGTCAGTTACAGACAAATATTTCCGAAGATGATAATGCAATTATTTTTATTTTGTTTCTATACAATACCAGCCTTGGTTGATGGTACCCATCAACAGACTACAGATTGATTATTGTGAATTATATTTGTTACAAAAAATTCTTTTGTAGTGTTTGGAGTCTTACCAAAATATTAGAGTTCATTTGTCAAAGGTTGTTGTAAATGATCTTAAAATGCAATAACTTTTATATAAATGATTCTAGCAACAAAATTCCTGTCACAATTATTTTTTCACATTTAGAGTTTTAATTAAATTTACGAGTAACTGTTGTAAGTCATCATAACTTTTACTTCGAGTTCAACAAGTGTATTAATACTTTACTAGTATAATTCCATTGACAATATTATTGGTACTAATTCAGTATATCCCAAATCAGTATCTAATTAATTGTAAGATCCTTTTTATTTCCTTGTATAAAGTAAAAAGGAAGTATTGTAATCGGGAAGGATTTCAGGCATCATAGTTCAACAAAAATATCCATTTTCACCACTATCGAATGCAATTTAATGATGTTTTTGCGTGACATCTGTATGTAAGGACAAAATACAGGACTCTTTTTTTCCCCCAAAATATTATAAAACTGATATAAAATGAATTCTGAAGAGAATTTTTCATGGCGTCTGTATGTACGTACGTACGCATCTCGCATAACTCAAAAACGAGTAGCCTCAGAATGTTGAAATTTTGTATATAGGACTGCTATAACATGAAGATGTGCACCTCGTATTTTGGTTGCAATCAGGCACACCAAAAGTATATAAATATATGTGTATATATATATCCAATCTGTTATTCGGGTCAGTGATCACAGTTTCTTTATTCCTATGTGTTCATAAATTATGCATTTTTTGCTTTAAAAATGATTGAATTATGTTGTTCTTATCTTCTGGTTAAGGTTTTTATGCCTCTAGTAAATCTGCATGCAATATTTGTAGAATTATCAACAATTTAAAAGTTGTTTAAGTGCAGCTAAGCCTAATTATTTTTGCTATGGTGGACATGTTTGTTTACATTTGAAACTTACTAGAATAGCAGATTTGTTGCGAATCTAGAGATTTTAAGCTTCACAATAACAAAGATAACACCTTCTTTTTATTATTGTGAATTAAATCACGCTTAATCCATTCTGGAATTTATTTGAGGAAATAAAGATTTACTTTGTAATTTTTAATATAGATATTTTGAGTTTTTATGTATTTTTGCCTTGTTGCGAAGTGAAATAATTAATTGAATGAGAAATATTGAATCGTCTGTCAAAAGCTGTTTATTTTTTGTTTTGTTTGCTTAATTTCTGTTATACATTGTTTCAGATTTATTATAGTATTTGAATAGGACATGTGGCAGCAATTAGATAATTCTTCAAATGATATAAATTTTGTGCATTCTGAGTTATAATATGAACGAAATGTAATACTGTGGTAAACAAATATAGTGAACTTTAAAGAGTGCATTTATTCTAGTGTAGTTTATGCATCGGCGAAGTAGATTTAATTCAATCTAGTAAGTTTAAATGAAATGCAAGGAAAAATGCAAATAATATTCCATGCAAGGAAATCATGTGGTATACACATCAGATTTTTTATTAGTTATTATCACATAAATGAGAAAATGGATTATTTTCATTTCATGCAAGAAGAAAATAGTATATGTGAAATAAAATTTATATATATATATATATCTGTTAATGCATGGCAAATATTATTTTTGAGTTGTCGTGTAAGTTTTTTTCTTAGTATTTAACTATTGAAGTTATGTGAGGTTCTTTCATTGATGAGTTTTAATTAATGAAATATGTGCTACATTTTCAACAGTATATGTTGCTGATAATGACTAGAATTGTTTTTTCATAAAATTTGTGAATATTGAAAGCAATTTTGTTTCAGCATTAGTATGCATGTGATAAAGGTGTTATAATATTTTTCAAAAATTTAAATCAAACTTTTCTTTTATATAAAAAATAACTGGAGATAACTGTAAGAAATTAAATGGACAATTATCGCAATATGAAAGATAGTCATTCCTGGCAATCTTATAGTCTTGGTTGTCAATAATGGTGCTAAAGATGTTGATGTTAACAAACCATTGTTCGTCTGTGGTCCCTCAGAGAGTCATTCCATGCTAAGAAGGAAGACTGAGCCTAGCAACATGCCTCTGTGGTGTATTTCTCTTATACTCATTAGGAATTTTTGATTACTGTTCCAAATATATCATACTCTGCTTTTGGATGTATCATCAATATTTTACACTGGTATGCAGCCAAGTTATCCTATTGTAAATCTTATATTGCAAATGGATCTAGGATCATATTATGACAAATGGATCCAGGATCATATTCTGCGAGCATTTGTGTTTCTCTTAAAAAGCAAATACAAATTAGTATATCTGTCAGAAGTGGCACAACTTAGAAATACTATTAATATTTCTTTCACAGGAATTAATATCATGTTACTTGTTTCCTTACAGTCAGCATCTGAATTTACTCTGCAAAGCCATCCTAGATTTGTTTGTAAATAATATAGATTTTCATTGATCTTCAGAGCAGTTAATGTAAAATTAACATGAAGTAGATCAGTTTCTATAATATATATTTTATATTTCTGAAATGTTTTTTGATTTTTCCAAATTACAATTTAATAGATTTTAAATCCTTGAGCCTTTTTGAAAATGATAGGAATTCCAAAAGATAATTATAATTGTATGGATTACCTGAGCTCCCAAAATAATTTTATGATTCCCTGAGTTGACAGAATCACCATGCTAGTGTATAGCTTGCCAAGGGTCTTCACTTGTATTTATCCATTAAGTAATACTTTATAGCTTTATTAACAAAATTGAATTTTATCAAAATGTCCTTATTGCAGCTCATAGTAAACTTTTATAAATAAATCTGAATAAGATCTGTGATGGTAATTTATTGTTACCAGTCATAATGCATTCATTTTGAGTACAATGATGTTTTCCTTAATGCACAGTTTTAGGGAATACAGTATTCCCCATATTTTTATAATTATACAATTTGTTCCCTTTGTATTTTTCAATCTTTACAAACTGTTGCACAGAGATACTTATTTTAAATAAAATTATTCTGTTTCATTTTTTAGCTTCTGAAACTAAGAGAGCAGGAAAAAGAAGAAAAAGAAAGTTTGTTGGTGAAAAAGGTTGAACCAGAGCAAAAGAAACTGAAAACATTTCATAATGGTGTAGGAAAATACATAGACTCAAAATCAGTGTAAGATATTAACAGCATTTTTTATTAGCAAATATGCATTTTCTTCTTTTTAAATAACTGTATTTCACATATAAATTGAATAAATGTATTTCAATCATTAGGAAATTTCTTGATAGTTGACTACTGTAATATTTGGGTGCTGAAAATTTCATATTCGTGCATGTAAAATTCTCAGTTTCAACAAATTACTATAAAATCCATGCATGGAGTATGACACTTTCCTTATTTTATTTTAAAGAAAGAAAGCACAAAGTCACATAAGATGTTAATTTGATTTAATTGAGAAATATTATGTATATGAATGTATTTATGAAATGACTACACACTAATCATCATTAAAATGACTGGTTTGATTTCTTATTTATATCATTAACCATAAGGGGGGGATCTGTATATTTACAGTTATTAACAGAGTTTCATGTGATAAAAAATGTATAAGCTGCAACCCAAATTTAACTAATTGGTGAGGCTAAGCAATAAATTTTATAAAATTGGAAGATTCTTGTACATACATAGCTACCAACTCGTCTGGGTTTACCAGGAGATTCCCAGTTTTTCATCACACCTCTCGTTTTTCTAACTTTTAGCGTTTATTGAAGAAAATTTTCAGCAATAAAATTAAATTGTTCATTTAAAATTTGCACAGTTTAATTTTCATTATTGAATTAATGAAGTTAAACTGTGCACATTTCAATCCCTCATCCCTAGTGATCTTCAATAAAATTTTTCTTGTTAAATTTTATTTGATCTGATAAAATTTGATCTTGTGTTAATGTACTGTAGACATTTTCAGATATTTTTATGAAGATTCAACCAAATTTTTTATCAATAAATATTTGTTTTTAATGTTATTTTAATCAATATACAGTCATTATGTCCATTGTAGAACAGGAAATGTGAAAAATATGCTATGCCTCCACTAGAATTTGAACTCAGAACCCTCTGATTTCTACCTAGGTGTACCTCTAATTAACATCACTAAAGCATAGGTTACTTTGGACCAGTGGCATTGCAAATGTGGTCAAGAACGGGAGCATGACACTAATTATGAAGGGGAAAATAAATGGGTGCGTTAGGGATCATAAGAGGAGATATATTGTAAAAGAAAAGTGTTTTTAGTGTCATTCATAATCAGTATATCAGGAATAAAAACTTAAATGGAGCTACAATTCTCCTCTGTTCTTCTTTGTAAGTCAGTAATGTATGTAAGGATGTACACTGCAAAAAAAAAAAAAAAAAAAAAAAAAAAAAAAAAAAAAAAAAAAAAAATGGGACAGTTCTATATTTCCTGTTCTACTGGACCAATTCACGAAATTCAAATCGTGTTTTTCATGTCTCGAAAGCAAGACTTTATATATCAGATTTATATATAGCATTATTCTAACATTGACACAAATCATACTTTTTCTGAAACGGCATGCCAATTTTTTTCCATATTTCAATTCTATGATTCAATATGCTTACATATTCAATTTTGTAAAATTTGGTGCGAAATTTACAGAGAAATTCGAAAATTTATCTTGGCGGAATTTTTTCAGTTTGCGCCAAGAATAATTTACTTGGCAAACTTCTTAATTTATAACAACACAATTTTCCTTTCCTGTTTTGCATTGCAGACGAGCAGGAAAAAAGTCATCTTTAATACTTTCAAATAATTTTAACAAAGTGTGTAAACCACATTTGGCATTATTATCACTAAAAGAAAAAGATGCCAAATTTCAAAATGTGCCAATATGCAATTTCATGTATATCTTAGAAAATTTTGAATAAAAATCTAATTTTTTGCAGGTGTGCCTAGAAATAGGTCTACTTTAAGAGGAGGTTTTAAAAATTTTATAACTCATAATGCAAAAAATTTTTTTGAAAAATTTATAAAATATATTTAAAAATACAAATTTTAAAAATAAATCATAAAAAATGTGTGAATTATATTAAGTGTAAATTTCGAATTCTGAAAGAAGGAATCAAGTAAGTTTAATTAAAAAAAGAGATATTAATAAAAACATATCCAATTCAATTAACATTGAGGAGGTAAAACTTTGAGAGCTAATTTTTAAAAACTACTCATGCAATTTTTACAAAACTTGGCAGTTTGGCATAATTTGAGTCGTAGAATCGAAATACGGAGAAAAATTGGCATGTCATTTAACAAAAAGTCTGATTTTGTGTCAAAATATTTATGTTAGAATAATGCTAGATATAAATGTAATATATATCCTAAGTCTTGCTTTCGAGACATGAAAAACTGAAATTGAATTTCATCAAATGGCCCAGTAGAACGGAAGATATAGAACTGTCCGCCTCCCCCTCCTCCGGCACTATACATAGTACCAGAATTGAGACAAATTATATAGAATTGCAAAAGTTTTGAAAAAACGTCAAACTCTGGACTGAAAATTTCAATAGAATTTTAAAAAATAAAAATGATTTAATTCAAAGTTTTATAATTTTTTCCAAAAGTTATATTTATCTTCACTCATTCATGCTCTAATGCAGGGTTTCTTAAACTGGAGGTCGGGGGACCTGCAGCAGGGGTTCGCCAAAAATTTTAGCAGTTCTGATAGTTCTTTAACTTATTATAATAATTTTACAATTACAAATATTTTTAGGCAATGTATCTGAAAATAGATAAAGATAAGACAGTACAGACAAAGAAAAAACGAAAACGTTTCGACACATTCTTTTTATAATATAAATATTCATTTTCTTTTCTTTGCACGTGACAGTGTCATTTCGTCTGTTACTTATTTAAAATTTTAATATTGTTCTATGTCTTAAAAATAAAAATTAAAGTTAGTGACCTAAAACTGCAATAGTATATTACAGTACTAGTGAAAAAATTGACAGTTTCACTCATGCGAGTGTCGGATTTGCACAATACTTATGGTGGTCCCACAAATTTTTTTTAAATATTATGGGGTCCTGAGGGTCGCAAAAAAAAAAAAAAAAAAAAAAAAAAAAAAAAAAAAAAAAAAAAAATTCAAAAAAAAAAAAAAAAAAAGTTAGCGACTGAAAATAGGACTGGAAAAATTTTTAGGAAACTCTAATGCTTTCTTCTAAAAAGGCTATTCTATTGCCAAGCCTTTGTTTTCCCTTTGAAGGGGAGGACTATGTAGGATATCAAATACAGGGTGAATCTGAACAAGTGGGCAAAACTTTATTGGGTGATAGGCTGCAGTTATACAAACAATATATTTGTCATAGAATGTATGGTCGGAATGCAAGCAGTGAAAAGTTAAAGGGTAGTTTTCCACTGTCAAATTTAAAGAATTAACCCAAGAATGAGAGGAGATACTTCAGAAAACATTTTACCAGGAATGCAATTCATGTACATTTTCAAAATAAATTGCTCAAAAGCCCTTTGCCAGTTATTAAATTTACAAAATAGTAGAAAGATAGTATAAATAATAATTAAAAGGGAGAAGAAACAATATATTTCTACATATTTACATTAAATTTCTTATCATAGTCATCCATGTATTACCTCCGATTAAGGTTTAAGCATCAATTATCATATTACTTTAGATGAGAAATTTTGTAAAAAATAGTTAATACTAGCTTAATAGTTAATACTAGCTTTAGAGAAATGTTAAATAGAGGTGTTTTAATCTGTAAGAGAATTGTGATTAACTTAGTGATTTCTTCTTGTAAATTCGACATTGTTGGAAATATTTTTTATTCTAAGGAGTTGAGTATGTATGGTATAAGTATTACTCTTTTGGAGATATTGGAGTGCGAATGGATGAGTTTTATAGTAGGGAAATCAAAATCTCATCTTTTGTTGTAAATTTTTATCTTTTATATCTTTGAAGTTGATAATTTGAAAATCTAGGTAATTAATATCTCCTTGTTGAAAGTTAGTTTTATTACATTTCAAACATAAAGGATAAATGTAATTTATTTTTATTTTAACTGAAGTTGTTGAATGCGATAATACCATCCATGTATCTTTAAATCTTAGAGTAATATGAACGTTGTTCATAAGGTAACTGTTGTTGGAAATGAAATTCCTTGGTGAAAAGGTACAAATTACAAATTGCAGACCTAGTGCTAGTTTCCATCAGGATGCTGAAAAAAAAAAAGCATTATTAAATTATTAAAAAAGCATTGTTTTAAAAAAGCATTATTAAATGCAATGTAGTTATTAAAAAGAATACATTTTAAACATAGCTGTCATTCTTCTTTTGAAATAACAGTAATAATTTGTGGAAATAAATCTAGTTAGAAGACTGTCAAAAACATCTTGTAAAGGAAAAGCCATGTATAAATTCCCAAAGTTGTATCAGAAAATATTTTTAATCTTTAAAGTGTGAAGTTCTTCTAGTATCGGTTTGTTATTACTCATTTATTATCCAGTTAAAATTATGTTCTTTCATCTAATAAAGTAGAGAACTTTTTAAAGTAATTTAGTAAAATGGTAGTCTATTTCTTTCATGTAATTTCTGGTCCCTTTAGCTATAAATCAAAATTTGTTTGACATTTTATGAAATTTTGGCAATGCATATAAGTTGGAAAATATATTAGAAAATTTATTCGTAGTTATTTTGTCTTCAATGAATTGCAGTGAAATGTCTTTGCAGCATATTTGCCGTAGTTTTAATATTATGGTAAGTAACTGCACTATGAAGTTCTTTTTTTAATCAGATTATAGTAGAAAGCCTTTCAAATAATACTGCCTGTTTACTGGCCAGTTACTGACTTTGTTTATATTCGTAATGGTGAAAAGATCCTTTAAAATTTTAACTTTCTTGTCTAAATCTTGCATATTATGTGAGATCTTTTTTGAATTGTTGAATGCAGAACTTTTTGCTAACTTTGAAAGTGGGTCGAAATTTGGTGCCAAGATTTCATTAATTGCCTTAAATTTCTATCTTCTATAATTTCTAAATTTATAAATGTGTTGATTGACATAAGGGCTGTATTCTGAAAGTTTGTAGTTTCAAGTATCTAGAGCATCATCGAACCTCATGGTGGTTAATTATTAAGCTACTTAGTGTTCTTTCATATCGATAGCTTGGTATTGCCTGTACTTTGTATGGAAACAGATGTTGGTATAGTTTAAAGATCTTATTAATTTTAGTCAGTTATAAACGGGATGCTTGAAGTTGATAGCACAGAAATATTTATTTTCAAAAGATTTGTTGCTATGTAGTTTGTATTTACAAAAGTCTATTATAATGTCTTTTAGTAATTGGAGGCATTTATATTTAAATTGAAAGTGGTATAGCAATTGCTTAAGGATTTTGTGTTTGAAGATGTGGAGTAAATTGATAATACTTAAATTTTGAATTTAAGTAAGTGAAATTTTGTAAACACTTTTTCAAAATCTGAAGTAAAAAAATGTCTTTTATTTCTATCTCCTCCTCTTGTTCCTCTTATTGTTTTGGTACAGAATCCTCCAAATTGGCTATAAACTGAATTTATCTCTTAAATTATTCTGTAAATAAGAATTGAGCCCGTAAGGGTAAAGTGTTTTATTTTGTAATATGTAAATGGATTTCTTTAAAAGTCTTATTTTGGTGTTGGGAGTAATATCCAAAATAGAAATATTAATTTGTTCAAAATCGTGCAGTTGAAAATGTTCAAGAATCACTGTATTATTACCGACAACTTTCTTTTCCTTATGAGGCAGACTTTTAGATTTTTTAATGTGAGCTCAGTGGTTATTAATCCTAATGTTAAGTTTGTTCTTGGTTTGTCCGATGTAACTTACGTTACATTTATTACAAGTGATCTTGTAAATACAATTAAATGTTTTTCAAAACATTTGTTGTGGTTTTTTTTTTTAATGAGTGGAGAAGAAGTGGCATTAAACTTACAAGTTTTTCAAAGCGAATTTTTACATTCATTTATTTCAATTGACTTTAACTGAGCTCAGGTATAAAAGTAAAGAGAAAGCTAACCTACTTTACAGTTAGTCTTTTTGGAAGGAAAACTAAAAACTTAAAAATTCACCAGTATTAAAGGAAAAAACCTTGCAAATTTACCAATCAGAAAATGACAAAAGAACCTTGAAAGGAAACAGAAACAATAGTGCTGAAAGCTGCTAACAGTAGTAAGTACAAAAATAAACATAATTATAGGTTAAATATTAAAAAGTTTTGCAATATTTTATTGTTCAGAAAGAAAAGTCTGATATAACAGTCCAATATTTATTCAAAATTTCATTCTATTATTAAATTGTTATTATTATTATTATCATCATCATCATTATTAATTTGGGAAATGTTAGGGACTATGTACTGTTTCATACTTTACTAGGAATTGTTTTGGTATGTTTAGACTAGAAAAGCATACGTAAATGTAGTTTGTTGTATCTTCATCTCGTGTTTTAATATCAGACCTGCTTGTTTAGTGATTGTCAATTAACTTCACAAATCTTGAGTAGAACTAATCATATCAACAACATACAATTTTTTTCACCCTAATGGCGGGTTCTAGCCATTTATATACACATTGGCCATGCCTAAGGCCAGAAATGGTGGTCACTTTATTGTGGAGGCACCTAATAGATAGACCACTGTTACCTCCTATAAGGGGATAGGCAAATTATATCCATTCCATTTCTGGGATTTGAACCCAGGCCCTTCGGTATGGCAATGAGAGTCACTAACCATTTTCCTATCTGGGTGACACACAACAATTTAAATTGTATGAGTTGAAGTTTCATTTCCTGTTTTAAAGCTGCCATTCAGTTAAAATAGTTCAAAAAAGGAAGAACATAAAAATTTGAGATAATTTTCTTAAATCAAAGTAAAATTTTCATTAAATCAAAATTTTGTTTACTTTAGTTAAGGAAATGAAAATTAATCTTTAAAAATTTCTGATTTGATTGTACAGTACAAAGTCCATAATCCGGACGTCCATTATCCAGACCTCAAAGCCACAAACTTTTGTTTTGTATCCTTTACGCATGCGCTCTTAATGTACCACGGAAAAATGCTTGGAATAATTTATGGCTAGTTACCATATTTCATGGCGAGGACGATAAAGATGATAGCTGCGAATTTGAAGGTTTTGGACATAAACTAAAGGTGAAATTTTCCAGTAATTGGATTTTGTAAAGAAATGTGGAGAAGTGGTAATAAATGAAGATGATATAACAGAAGTTTTTCATTGCGACGACAATGCCCCAATCATCAATCAGTTAATGGACAGTGAAATCTATACTATGGTTCTAGATCCAGAAAATACCGCTTTTGATAGTGAAGAAAGTGACAGAGAGGTTATTGAAAACGAAAAAAATTCGATTGACAAGTTAGTCAGTATTCTCGACACAGCAATTACAGAGCTTGAACAGTGGAACTTTGTAGCTGAACAAGAAATTATGTCTGTTTATAGAATTAAAGACAAAGTATTAGCACAAAAATGAAGCAACTTAAAAAACTTACATTGAAAGAAATGTTTAATAAAGTATACAAATAATCCAGACCTCAAAGCCACAAACTTTACGCAGCACGTAGAAAATGCGCATACATTACACATGCGCGCGTTGAAAGAAATGTCTAATAAAGTAAACAAATAAATATTAAGCTTTTTTTTTCTAAATTTTGATAGCCTTTAGATCATAATTGCTCTTTATTTCATCAATTACGTTTTCATATTTTTAATTGTATAATTTCTGCATGCCATCTTACCGGATTTAAATTGATGATCTATAATCCGAAAAATCCCCTAATCACCAAAGTCCCGACGAGTCCGGATTACAGCTTTGTACTGTATTATGCATCTAAATAGACTTCATATTACTAAACAAATTAAAACTAATACATAAAGTATTTGTATTACTTTATGTGACATAATCTCCTTTTTTTTTTCTTCCAGGACAGAAACTGAAAATGATGTAGTTGAAATTAAGAAGAAGAAAAATGTAACTGGTAAATTTGGTGATTTTAGTTCATGGTGAAAATAAATAAATTGTATTGTTTTCTGAAAATATTGTATGTACATTGTAAATATCTATGTGAAATAAATTATAATTTTTATAAGAATAAAATGATAATCATTAATTTAAATTAGGCAAATTATTTTATATTACTTCAGCAACAAATGATAGTATACGGCATAAAAGGTGATTTAAATATAACTGTAGAAATGAAAATAAGCATGAGTCTATTTTTAAATTGACTTGGTGACACAAAAATTGCTTAAATGCACAAATTTTTCAAGTCATTTTAATGTATAAAAAATTCCTTGGTTTTTAGTATACTTGATTTGTAAAGGACAACATTCATTGCTTGAAATTTTGACAAAGCAGTTTGCAATTTTAATTGTATAATTAATTATAAACTCTGGAAGTCTTCCTGAAATACCATTTGCAAATAGGGGATTTTCCATGCTGCATTATTACTCATTTTAGCCTAGTAAAAACATCTTCGAATTATATTTTTAATATACTGTAAGCCTATGTATTTAAGATTCATACGACAATTTATTAGGTAAATGAAGATCTTTTTTAGCAGAAAGGGTGTTAGCCCAGAAGGGTTATTAATTTCATTTTGGCATTTTGCGTTTAATCACTAGAAATGCGATATTCATTTTCAAACTCTTGCCACCAAATATTATCATCCTGTATTATATTTAAAGAAATTAAATAATGAAGAATCTGCATAAATGTATCCATGTTTCTCGCATTGTGATGAAACAACGGTAAATAGAGCCAGCAAATTTTGAATAATGTAATCCTCCATGGAATATGGGCATCTGGAAGCCCTAATTTGGAATTTGATTATTATCGATTTCATATTTTGTAACACTTTTAACGAATTTTTCATTAATAAACTTGGCGATTTCAAAGTGAGTAATGGCAACACTGTACGGGAAAAAACAACATTTTTATCTCCAGTGCATGAGACTGTGTATTCTAAAGATATGCTCATTTTAAAATTATTTTGAGATATTGCTGTTGAATTGAATTTTATGGTTTAAGTGCGAAGAGCATGATCTTTTATAAATAAAGGTAACACACAAGACATTTAAAAAAAAAAAAAAAAAAAAAAAAAAAACCTTTGGGCGTAATGTAAAATCTCTGAAAGCTTTCAGATTTCTTTTTCATTGATTAAATTGATAGAGTTAACTTGTGATTGCAATCCAATACATTTAAAGACATTTCTTTTTCTTTAGATCTAATTTAGCAGATTTCCCTTCTCTTTGTATATTGCACTATAATGAAGCAGCTGCCATGTATCAAGTTGATATTTAATTCTAGATTTTTTTCCCCCTTTAATAAGAGATAGTTTGATATGTGTGTATTGATAAGAGTACAGGAGTAACTGTCTGCTTAAATTATGTTAGACTAATAATAGATTTAAAATCAAAATTTCTCAGATCCAATAAGACCTAAAAATTTGGAACTTTGCGGGTGAGTAGTATATGATCGACAGAGGTCCAGGAATGTATCTTCCCAGTCAGCTTTTTTTCTACACTACAATGGTATTTAAATCGAAAATCTCAAAAATTGAAAGATCTGGGAGTTGAAATTTTACAGGCCACATATGATCTGCCTGAGCTTTTAAAGATCTGCTATGAAATAAATAATTATTTCCCTTTTGAACTGTAGATCTTTTTAATGCATGTTTCTAATATCAGTATACAAGTTTTTTTCATTTTCAACTTCTGAAATATAAAAAATGCATCTGATAAACACTAAGCATAGTAAAAAATTGTTGCTAAAGTTTATTTTTCAGTGCGTAGTGCACTCATATGAAGTTATCAAGTATTAAAATATATTAGGGTTATTCTAAACTAGTGTAAATATTTATTAATGATGAACGTTAACTTTAAAAATTGTGATGAAAAAAAAAATTCTGAACAAGTTTTGTGATAGTTAATTTTAATAGAATAATAATTTATTGAAATAAAATATTTTCAAAATGTTATGACACTATATTGAATTACAGGCTAAAATGGAAATTTCTGAATTGTCAAAGATTGCATTAAGAATGTCAAATTCTATATCTGCATATTATTTACAATCTTTAGAAGTACTGTCTACTATTTGAGGTCTACAAATTTGCATAACATATATTGAGTCTAAGTTGTTGTTGATTGTGGTATTGAATTTTCAGTAATGGCAATTAAGTTGAGTAATGCAATTGTTGGAAATATCAAATATTTTTGCTGCTGTTGTCTGATTATTTGTATTAATTAAAACATTCTTATGTAGTACCATATTAAAGAATATACCATATTTCCTTGCATATTTTTTCTTGTTTTTTAACTAATTCTATCATCTGAAAATTGAGAGGTGAAAATTATGTGACTAATTTAATTTCCAAAGAACGTAGTTACAGTAAGAACATAGCATATAAAAAGTAGACATGAACAATCTATTGGTAACTATCATATTATTTCTTTAAAAGGAATCTACATTCCAATAAGAATACATAGTAATATGAACAATAACACTAGCTGATGGATACTGAGCCAATTTCTTATGTTAATTCAGCCAGCATTACATGCCCAGCTCAGTTACCTTGTAACCCAAGAGCACTTCACATGAATGAGACTTGATCATTGTTCTGAAGAGGGACCAGTGGTGGCTCGTAATAAGCACTGTGGAACTGCAGCACCCCCTATTTCCACTTATTATTATTTTTAATATTTAATATAGTGTGCCCTTTAGTCTTTAATTCTTTCTTTATACTTTTACAATACATAATCCTTAAGCTTAATGTCAGTAGCCACATCCCAGTTTGTGAAAAAAGTACGAATGTCTTTGTTTGGAACTGCGCACTTCACAGTTCCACAGACATGGTATTTGACTGTTCTGCACATGTGCACACAGAAAGCTGCACACCGAGCCAGGGAGAGAGAAGCACTGTCGCTCTTGCAGTGCCGAAGTTCTGGCATGTTGTTGGGAACGTTATTTCGTTTTACTCCGCACGTGTGGTATTCCTGCACAAGGTGGAACTTCATCATATGGACCATAAACAGAGTTCACGAAAATTTGCAACCTTTAAAAATTGCCTTACTGAAATTCAATCAACATCAAATGCAGATCAAACTATTGCACTTCACAGTTCCACAGACATGGTATTTGACTGTTCTGCACATGTGCACACAGAAAGCTGCACACCGAGCCAGGGAGAGAGAAGCACTGTCGCTCTTGCAGTGCTGAAGTTCTGGCATGTTGTTGGGAACGTTATTTCGTTTTACTCCGCACGTGTGGTATTCCTGCACAAGGTGGAACTTCATCATATGGACCATAAACAGAGTTCATGAAAATTTGCAACCTTTAAAAATTTCCTTACTGAAATTCAATCAACATCAAATGCAGATCAAACTATTGCAAAAGCAACAGGAATTTTGAAAAAAAAAAAAAAAAAAAAAAAAAAAAACTATATGATGATAATTTCAAGTTTTGGTTAGAGCGTTTTTTATCAGATGCCTCATGTTGAAATAATATACGACTAAATGTAATCTAGAGAAATTCGTGTGTTGTTTAAAGTTAACAAATATATAACAAATTTCAAAACTGCTATTTTAGAATTAAGAAACTCAAAGTACTGTATGAATTTTTCAAAGACACTGATGGCAGAAGCTAAGGAAATATGTGACTTTATACTAGGTATTGATATAATGCACAGATATTCTTCCACTAAACACTTGGCAGCTGCTAAATTGTTTAACAAGAAATGCTTAGTTTTAGGAATGAACATTCTACAGAAGAAATAGTACTGACCACTGAAGCATATTTAATGATTGAGAAAGAAAAGCTTGAAACTGAACTAAAAGTATTCTATTGTAGGTCTGATGTCCATGAATACTGCAAATTAATTGAGCTACTGAAATTTATCTTTGAAAATAATCTAGATGATGTTCTTAGAAATTACGAAACAGATAAAAATTTTCTTGAGAGTTTCCATGATTACATCAGAGGCAGAATGCTGCTTTTCAACATTAAGAATGAAAACTTTTCTAAGAAGCACTAGGAATTCGGCAAGACTAAATGTGCTTGCATTGATTTCAATAAAGAAAAATTTCCTCAGTTGTCATCCAGAGATCAAGGAGAAAATTATTGATCTTTTCGCGCAAATTAAAACAAGAAGAATGGATTTCATTTTTAAATGAATATACAAAGACTGAACTGTAACAATTTTGGTTAAAGTAATTAAGAATTGTTTAATTTTTTTCTTGTAAGATTTCATGAAGTTTCAAAATAAATATTCTTTTTATACATGTTTATTTTCTTTTAGACAATTTTAAAACAAAAGTTAAATTTTTTTGGAACAGCACCCCCACTAATTTTAGGCACAAGCTGCCACTGAGAGGGACATTGGAGGAACAAAAAGAAGGGAAGCAAACTAAAGACCATGATTTTGAAAGATCGAATGCATCAGCAATAGGTAAAGCTACAATGAGCTGGAACAAAAATAATAGAGGAAACATAAATAATAGAAATCACATGTTTTGAAAGTTTCTTAAGAACACCTGCCATATCCAGGTAGCTTAGTGAAGAATATGCACAAAATATATTCTAAATAATAAATGAAGGGAAAATGGATGAAATGCTAATACAAAAATGCAAATACAAATTGGATACACTGATAAAAAAATAATCAAAGGAATACAATTTACCAATTAAGTAGCCAAGTTAATTTAACTCCGAAAAAACTCGGAGGGAAAGCTATGTTCAATAGAAGTGAAATTATACATGAATATGTTTTAAATTTTTATAACCTAATGCAAAGTAATAAGGTATTATATATATAGAAAACTCAATATTTAAAGTGAATAAAATTGATCTCACTGAGAATATTTCTAATGTAAGTTTTGATGAAAAGAATAAGCTAGACATTAGAAAAAATTTAGCATTACTAGGCCCAATAAGGTGAAATTTTTAAAAACACAAGTGGTATTTCGAACCATAGAGAACCTGCCATTATTGTTCAGCAAATGTGTTGTTTCAAATGGTTGGATACTTGCGCTTTAATACATTCATTGGAAATGACTGATACGTATAAATTATTTAGATGTCTTATCACCAAGACCACAGCACAAGCTGCACACAAGT